GGTGAAAAAAGAGGGCTCGGATGTTTTTCTAACGGCCCGAGAAGTCTGTTGGGGGGGGGGATATATATCTTTCAAAGCCACCTCAGCTACACGGCTGCATCCTGGCTCTTGCAGTCAGGGCTTGTCCTGCGTAATGTGAGTTAGGAGCATAAATAGACCTCCAACTCTCCCTGGAGGATTCCGGAGCTTGCTTCTCATGGAGCCTGCTGGCCGCTTCCTTCCCACCCAGCCCGAGAGGCAAATCGCTGGCCACATTACAACGAGCTGTAGCATAAAGGAGGAAATGGGTGTCTGTGGTTTATCAGTTTCCAAAGGGGGGGAATAACATCTTCTCTACGGTGAATAACTGCTTTTAAAAAAGGTAAACAGAAAGAGCAGCTTGAGGCACAGGTCTGTTGAGCAAAGCACAGAATGTGGAGCATTTGCCTGCTCTTTGGAGCAAGGATCTCACACCAAAGGAAATAACAAACCCCTCAATCCATGGAACAGTGTCTGTTCATCCTGGGATGTGCAGTAGACGTGATGAAATCTCTTTTATAGGTTATTGTTGTTAGTTAGTCATTAAGTCGTGTCCGACTCTTCGTGACCCCATGGACCAGAGCACGCCAGGCCCTCCTGTCTTCCACTGCCTCCCGGAGTGTTGGTCGCTTTGATGACACTATCCAGCCATCTCGTCCTCTGTTGTCCCCTTCTCCTCTTGCCTTCACGCTTTCCCAACATCAGGGGCTTTTCCAGGGAGTCTTTTCTTCTCATTAGATGGCCAAAGTACTGGAGCCTCAGCTTCAGGATCTGTCCTTCCAGTGAGCACTCAGGGTTGACTTCCTTTAGAATGGATAGGTTTGTTCTCCTTGCAGTCCAGGGGACTCTCAAGAGTCTCCTCCAGCACCACAATTCAAAAGCATCAATTCTTCGGCGGTCAGCCTTCTTTATGGTCTAGCGCTCACTTCCATATATCGCTACTGGAAAAACCATAGCTTTGACTATGCAGACCTTTGTCAGCAAAGTGAGGTCTCTGCTTTTTAAGATGCTGTCTCAATTTGTCACCTACCTAAAAGTAGGTACCTACAAATTTTTTGTGGGCTCAGATGCCAGTGAGATGTAAATATACCGGAGAGTAACTGATTAGAAAATGGAGACTAGGAAATGCAGCAGTGAAGGAATTGGATGTCAGGATAAGTCACGGGAGACCCAGACCATCCTTCTCTTGTCTATCTGATCACCATGTATTTTGGGGGGGAGTTGGACAGTGAAGAAAGGAGACAAGAAAAAAAAGAAAAGTAAAAGGCGGTAGGAAAAGAGGAAGACAAAAAAGTGAGATGGATCAACTCTCTAAAAGAAGCCACAGGCTTGAGTTCGCAAGAAATGAGCAGGGCTGTTGAGGACAGGAAATTTTGGAGATTGTCCATTCCTGGAGTCACCATAAGTCAGAGGTGACTTGACTGCACATAACAACAGCAGTAAGATACTGCAAGATATGGAGGTATTGAGTCGAGGACATTTCTTTTCTCATTCCATTTCCCATTCTTACTGCAGCTTAGTCTTTGTTTACTCCAGTAAATCCTATTAGCAGTAATTGGCTAGATAGTCTAGTGTTTTTTGGTGGGGTTTGTTTTACACTTCTGGTGTAATATTTACTCAAGACACCACAGTGGTTGTCAGTAACATCTAATGATTACAGAAAAGATGGTTTGTGGAAGTTCTTCCTGTTTTGAATGAAGCAGCTAGTGGGGGGAAAATGGACTCCTTTGTAGGGGAGGGCGAACAGGTAGCGTGGGACGCTGGCCAAAATACTCTTCCTTAACACAGTAAAGTGCACTAGAGTAGGCCCATTGAATCAATGGGGATTAGGTGAGTCAACAGCTCTGTACATCCCATTGATTCAGATGGGCCTACTCTAACAGACTTCAGCAGAGCAAGCCCATTTGAATCAGTGGGACGTATGGAGGAAGTGACTCACTAAACCCCACTGATTCATTGTCATTCTAGTGTCATTTCCTATGCTAAGCAACAGGATTTGGGCCGTTGAGTCCTTTACTCATTACTGCTGGGACTGGGACCCGCACACGTGCGCGTGCAACTTGTCTTTGAAATGCTTTACTAGGCACTGCCTCTTGACTTTTGACACCATCTTTTCAGCCTGCATTTCCAATTCTGCACTTGTATTTTGGCATAACATCCTTAATATAGCCCTAATTGGAGTGAAGTGCCAAATGAGGTATTGTTATGTTAGCCTCTAGATTTGAAAGCGTGGGCTCTTCCCGTGTAAAATACAGTGGTGGCTCGACTTACGAAAACATGACCATTTTGAGTTACGACCCACTCCGGCTGCAAAATTTTGCTTCGACTTGCAGCCGGAGTTTCGAGTTACAACCAGGAAAAGGCGGGGAATTCAAATTGCTAACGGTTGGTGGTGAAGAGGCTGCTTCTTTGTAGCTCTTTTCCCCCAGCAGTTAGAAAGTGTGTGATCGGAGGAGGCTTTGGTTTGGGGCTGGGTGGTGGGATTATGTTTCTATG